ATATTTGGTTAAACAATAGAAGCTCACGCGGTTATCGATAGGTGCAATGCACACAACGTTTCGGCGCTGAATGATGTTATAGCCACGATTTGAACGCTCAAGAATTGATACATACTTCTTGAAATAGAATAAGCTCGGAAAAACATACGTCAATACAATACTCAGTTAAATTCTTCAGCAAATGGATTTTTAAAATACATGACATTAATTGAGATAAAAAATATAATTTAATCGCCAGGAAAAAAACTTTGACGTTCGAGTCTAGACAAATTTGCATGCAGCGAAGAGGGTAACTTCTGTCTCCTCCAGACCGAATTTCAATCACTCTGGTCAGTCTCATCCACGGAAGGGATTAAAACTCCCTCTCATAGTGCGATGGGACGGTAATTTGACATGAACGGAGAAAGATCAAACGCAGCACCAACAGCTTTACGTGCTTACCGAGGCACGGGGGTAAAACAACGTTAACTTCCCGGCTTTACTGCTAATGAGAATTTCTTGACTGACCGGAATTCAACTGGACCTCATAATCAGCAATTGAATTTATGATCACTAGACCATCGAGGCAGTGTCACATATTGATGTTAATTGATAAAATCAGCTAAACCAAGGAATAGCTTAATCAAAAAAAAATTTAAAATTGGTTCAAAAACAAAGAAATTATATTCGAACATGGTAGAGCCACGCTGCATCTATATTACTGGTTTAGTTTTAGCACTAATGGGTCTGACCATAGAAGGACGGCGCTCTCACAGAATACCAGCGCAAAATAGCAGCTTAACGCGCTACTGTGTTTCGTATGTAAGTGTAGAGAACCGGATACCCTTTTTACAAGAAACGAGGCATTCCATCTTAGTCCAAACGGGTGACAACGCATTTGCATTTTGATTCGTAATCGAGGACAGATGTAGATGTCTATGGGTCACAGCATCAGGTGGACTGTGTGCTCGTTTGTCACCCTTATCCTATAAAAAAGGACATACACAAGATCCTCCTTTTTTGGGGTCGGATAAAATGCCATTCTAATCGACTTAGACAATGTTGAATGTAATGTCTGTATTATTCCAGATTAAAAGTATTGCATGTGACCTCGCGTGCCAGTCGCAAGACCGTGACCGAGGTGAAGGCGACACGAACGAATGAATGTTCGATATTTAGTCCGTTCATTCATTTACATTAATTAATAATTCGTCTTGTATCTTATCGCTGTAGCCTTTTTAAATCTTTACAATCAACTGATTCTAGTATTTCTAGTGGTTATATTATAATTGCCATTTCATAAAGACATTGCGTAGTTATATCGGTGGCTAAAAATTCAACATCGTATTTGGTCTTTTGGTATTGTGATTGGTATGTCATCATCATCAGAATACAGGCCTCCCCCACTGATTGCCTCATAGAGGGAGATTTTGCCATAGTTGCCACGCCTGGCAAGCGGGTTGTCTACGGCAGCTTTTTATTATTTTGAGTTGTTATCAGGAAGATGCTGCTGCCCATCTGTTGATTCAATTTCCCTCTGTCGCGTCTTACGACACCCACGACACGATATGGGGCAGTGGATATTCTTAACCGCCACTACACGTATTTGTCATTGGTATGCAACGATTTCAAAAGGAAGGATAGGCCCATCTAAATATTTTACTCATAACTTTTTCATACAAGAAAAAACAGCGCAACTGTCATAATACGAACATCATATATCGTTATATAACACGACGTAACCAGGGTCGGATTTCGTAATATAATTATCCTAATTGTACCATTGTTTTATAGTTATTATATTTTCATTATACCATAATTTTACCTAAAGGTCGAATTGTATTATTATTGGTTCCTTTAAAATTTTAATATTAACCCTAAGATATCGAGAATTTCTGTATTGTTCATGAGTACCGCGTTTGTTTAAAAATAAAATTAGAATTAACTCCCTTTCTGGTCAATCGATGCTCGATAGATGCATTTATGTTGCATCCTTGATAATAAAACTATAATGAGGGCTACCACGATAAAAACTCTATGCTCCAAAAGCAATCTCTTTGAAAACAGAATATCAAAATATTTTATGAATCAGATTTTCAGATTTAATTAAGCAGATATTGTTTCTTTTGTACTCTTTTCGTTTTACCCTTATTGAATATAAAATATATTAGATATCAATATTCAAAATTTAACTTACACTAAGTTCTTAGGCAAAAATTAAACAGAAATAAAAATTAAACCGCCAAAAACGAAACGTATAGATAAACTAGCTAAAAAAATCCCGACATATGGGAAAAAAAGAAACATGAAACGTCAAACGTGATATAATTTTTTTAAATAGTATAATTTTATTTTCCATGTACAATATTTTTGAGGGTCTAAATCCAACCCTGGCCTAATCTTGGTAACGTAACCAAACTAACTGTAAAATAAAACTTTAAAAATGCGTTTATATAATAAATTCATTGTAACAAAATTTATATAAGGTTATATACCGATGATACGATATCCCATGTTTTTTTAAAATCTTTGTAACGTAATTTTTGCATTCTTTTACCACGCAACTAGACATATTTATGACAGGCATATATGTCCTGCGCGCGCGCCACTGTAGACCGATTCGCGTTGACCCTAAACTGTAATTTTAGGGTCAGCACACTGGTCTGTTTTAGTTGTTCGGTCGGCCCGGTCCTTACGCTAGTAATATATAAAGTCAATGGTCAATGGTATGTCATAGGTTAATGGAAACCTTATTTTTAAGCTATTGCATAGCTTCTATCGCGAGCCTTGAGCGCGGGGACCGAATCCAGAAATTCCGTAACGAAAAAAACCTCACGCTCCCCATTCCGACGGGCACGGAGGTGTGGCGTTGAAAGCCGTGCATCGTCTAACGTCGTTTCAGTTCGGCAGACTTCGGCACTTGGCAGACTTCGGCACTCGGCAGACTTCGGCACGGTGTTTGTGTGCGTGCGACTAGACGTATGCGTGTACACTAGCTGCTAACTCAATGATGAAAATTCCTGAATAACCTACATGTATTGTAAGATATTAAAAAAAGAGAAAAAAAATTGTTTTCTTATCGGTCACCACGCTCAAAAGTGTAACTTGATTTAATATCAAGGACTCAATACTGCATAAATAAAATAAATAAATAATTATAATTGCATAAGTTGATAAAAAATGCTATGCAATAGCTTTACCGCGGCAGTCACCGAGTGCCACACGTATTTTTTTTTTATAAAACTGAAGTGTCGAACGGACTTATAGTCCACTTGATGGTAAGTGACTACTGCAGTCCGTGGGCAACTGCAGCCAACTTCAAACGAAGAAGGACCACGGATTCGTTGTCACCACTGAGGCAGAAAAATATTGAAATATCGAAATATTGATAATTTATCATAAAAATATCGATATATTTATCGTTGATATTTTTAAATCGCGATAAATCGATATTCGTTATTTGTTTCGGAGTATCGAAATCGTATCAATTTTGATATGTTTTAAAATGTTGTATTTATCGACAAAACATTAAGCAACAAAAGTAGCTACAGAAGTATTCATTTGCTATCGTCGTTTTTTTTCGTCGCCCATCCGTCCATTAATAACATTTTAGGCCTTATCCTGCTACATCATCCAAAACATGACGATATATCAATGTTTATCACGCGAGATATATATCGATATTTTTTTACTTGCCCATCCCTACCATAGCATCCACTTACCATAACGGTTGCCTGTCTACTTGTGTCTCTAATATTTATAGAAAATTTCGTTTTCGCTCATAGAGCAACACAGGCCACCGGCGAAACGGAGGCCGGCCCGTGTTGCTCTGTTTTCACATACTCTATAATCTGAGTAGACCTGTAATTGACCTTAGTTTACCGAGTACACATTAGAGTAAGTACAAGTATGAATGTAATTACTCTAAGATATAAACATATATGTAGACACAATCAGAGTGTCAGTAAAACATGACATTATTGATTGTTACAAAGTTGCTAACATCGCGGCACTCAAAGTAGCGTCAATTTTGTCAAATTGAGCTTCCTCGGAGCGCTAGGAAGGCGTCGGCGGACGAGCCGACAGAGCATTGCTTATTAGATGATTGCCACAATCCGGTGCGCTCTGATTACGTTGCATTATTTAATTTTCTTATGAAATGCTTTACAGACGTATTTGGATGATGCGATGCACGACTAGCTACTGCAAAATATTATGCTTCCCGTCTGCGTATATTGCTCGCAGATTCCCAATGATGTGTCGGCGAGATTCTCATTATAATAATGCTTTGACTATTGATTAGAATACAATTGAAATATATTAAAAAATGAATTATTTTATTTAAATTTTATTTGACAAGAAATGAAGGAAGTCTATAGATGTAGGTTGCTCGGGACCATGATTTGTGGCGTTCTTTAAGGGATGCCTATTTTTTCTTATAGTTCTTATAAAAAAAATTAGCTATTAGGCGACAAACGAGCACACAGCCCACCTGATGGTATGCGAATGCTGTGGACCATAGATATCTACATTTATCCTCGATTAAGAATCAAAACGCAGATGCGTTGTCACGCCTGTGAACTAAGATTGAATGCCTTGTTTCTAGTAAAAAAGGATCTCCGGAACTCTACACTTACCATACGAGACAGAGCAGTATTAAGGTGCTATTTTACGCTGGTATTCCGTGAGAGCGTGGTCTATCCCCGGTCGAGCCGACCATTCGTGCTACAACTATAATACTGACTCTATCACGTATCAGATAATAAAATATATTCCATTGACTTGAAACCATGGATTTTCAGTAATTCTTTAAAATTTCTGAAAATCATCATCATTGTTTCGCCACAATTTATGCCGAGTAATGGCCTTTTTCGGCAAGCCTTCGACTTACAAAGACAAATTTATTAAAATATCTTATCTTGTATATTGTTTTACGTCAATGGTCTGTTGGCAAAACAAAGTGTTACTTTTTTATTTAATTAAATAATAAAATGAAATTTATAATTCCTCTATATTTCCAGGTAAAGTGGAACACTTCACGTTTGATGGAACCACGAGTGACGTCACATCTATCGCCCTCTCATTCTACTCTGGACTTTTCGCATACAATGGATGGTAAGCATTTGCGATGTTCCTGACGTCATATTGAACTATTCCCTCGGCTCATTTCGCCTTGGACTTAACCTACCAAATAGGTTCTGCGAGTACTTCAACTGTATTCAACATTTGCGTTGTCCTGTACTCCTAATGAAATTAAATTTAGAGTTCAGTCACGAATGCCTCGTAAGCCCATTGAATCTCGGCCGTTTCGCAAAACAGTTCTAAGAGCCAATTCACCGGGCTCGGGTATAAAGTGCAGTGGGTCAATAGATGTTCATGTTAAGTTTCTAGTTAAGCAGTAAACGATACATTATTTAAGTAACAAGGTGTAAGTCATTATTTTATACACATAATATTACTTGGTTCTATCCTAAGTTTTTGTATCGTAAGTATTTATAACTACTCGGTAACTTTTTAGTAACTTGAAGCATGCGATGTATACCCTTAATTGATTGTGCAATTAATATCTAAGTTGATGCGTGCGTACCATTTCTGCGCTGTTGCAACAATTGTTGGTGTAATTAAATAAATAACTTTAAGGGCTTGACGGCTCCTTGGCCAGTGGCTTAGCATTGAGTTACAGCGCCTATGGACGCGGGTTCGAATCCCGCACGGAACAAGTATTCTGGTATTGTATCCGAGTAGTCTGTATTCATATCCTTGTGCAATTTATCTATGTAAACTACCTCCACGACACAGAAGAAAATCCTAGTAAGTTTGAAAAGAAAGAAAGAAATTAAATGAAATGAAATATTTATTTGCGTTTGGTTAAGGTACACTGAAGATGGTCATATTAATTAAACATCCTCTTAATCAGCCAGTAAGGAAAGTAAAGGAAAGAACAGTTGTACTAAATTTGTATAAAAAGGGTTATAATAATATTAAGGAATTTATTGACGATAATAACCCCTGGGTAGGGTGAGCGCTACCAAGCTATTTCTAATTTGTCTTGTGTTGTTAATTGTAAACATTATTGTAAGCTATTATTTGAAAAAAAAAAATAGTCCCGCTGGGTTTCTTGCTGGTTCTTCCCAGGACAGAGGTTTTTTTGGCGAACCGGTGGAAAATGAAAAAATTGACTTTCAATAAGTATTGTTTATAATCTGCATTGAATAAAAAAGTTTCTGTTTCTGTTTGTGTTGTCTTGTAAAGTGTTGTAATGATAATGATGATAGGAAAATGATTTTATTCTAACTACGAGTACTATAAACTATTTATTTAACAGTTATAAGGCAGTGCTTGACTTTGTAGTGGGGTAGTTCCCACCTGATGGTAAGTGGTGATGCAGCCTTCTTTCGTCATTTACTGCTATTGCGTACAACCATATGTATAACGGTTTCTGTCTGACAGTTTGTACGTTATACGGCTCATACCACAAATTCGAGAAACTACAGAAATATCTAATGACATTCAAAAAATAGCGGTATGATTATACCATAAGATTTTATGGTTTAAGCTAGACGTAAAGTTCCCCTTACCGGCGACAAGTTGCAGTTATTTACCTGTGGCGGCGCTGTCGTCGCGTCACTAACGAAAGGCACTAAAGCCTAAATCACGCTACCAAAGTTCCGAAGCACTGCGCTATATACATCAGCTCTGTACAAACATACCTATGACCAACAGTAAACTATTGCGGGCTAACGAAAAAGATTATACGTGGTAGATCAAGGCTACAGCTATATTATGCTTGTAGCACGAGTTAGCAATGGGCGATTGTTACAAAAAAAAAAACAATCCACTGAATCAAAAATTGTGCTATTGCACATTCGATTGTCGATTTAGCAGTTCCTCGACAGGATTATTCGAATAACAATGGACAAACTACTCTATATAATTGTATGCACCGCACACTGCAATCGCGCGTTTTTTCTAAAGCAGGTATGTTAGACTAGCGCCGAAAAAGCTGGATGAAATTACATTTTAAATAAAAGTTTTGTCCTAATATGAGACTGTTACGTTAAGGCTATAATTTTTATTTTCTTTTAAAGTGCTCAATTTACATTTTTAGTATCATAAACGACATTTTAAATCGCATCAAACAAATTGTATTTAATGTATAAATAAAATAAATAAAATAAAAAAGCCTTTTATTCCATGCTAAATAAGTTTTACAATATAGCTTTTTTGTAACTTAATTTGCATTTTATAAAGAAAATATAAATTATGATATTTTTTTAGATTTTAATACATTAATTTGTTTCATTTTTTAGATTTTTTTAGATTTTAATACATTAATTTAATTCTATATTTTTGAATGAATTTGATTGAGTTAATTAATGTCGTAATTTTGATTATGATAATTATTTTTCATAATATTTGGTTAAAATTTAAATAGGTATGCATTATATTAGTAACATTAATATTTTCAATCAATGTAATTGATTTATAAATTTTAAGTGATTATTTTAAATGGATTTGGTTTTTTATAAAATTAAGAATAGGATATATTTAATTCACATTAGTTGCAAATTGACAAATATTTTTTTTAATTAATTATTTGTATAAATATACTCATTTGTGTTTGTTTACTTTGCATGGACCCCCCCTTAGGTGAAGGCCTCCTCCAAAGATTTCCATTAGTCTCTGTTTTTTCGACGATTTAAGGTGTCTTCCTTTGGAGGGTGGTAGTCATAATCTTCCACGGTGACCAGCCGGGTTGGAAGATATCTTATATTGCTTAATTGGACTTGTTATTTTATAAAATCTGTAGTAGAGAGGGGTGCTAGTTGCTATGTATTTTTATCTTTGTTGTCATATTTACCTCATTTTGTGTTGGTATTATTATTAACTAAATAGTTCAGCATGCCAGGTTTCAAAACTCCTTCAGAAATACTATTGGATCTTGGAGCTGATGAGTGCAATTTCAGGGTTTTGTTTTTCTTACTGGCTTGCGTGTTTTTGTGTCCTTGTGAATGGAGAAAGTTTTCAGGCGAGGTAGACAATGTTCTTTTATTGTTGTTTTTTAATATAATTAGTTTGTCGTATTTTATGATTGCATTATTTCCCTTTTCTCTCTCTATTTTTAGTTGTTGTTGTAATTCCTTTCTTTTTTTGTAAAACATATGCGGGGTAATCTTCTTTCATATAATATTGAGTGTCATTTAGTGCCCCTTTTTGTTTAAAAATTTTGATCTTCAGGCGAAGAGTTGTAAATGTTACTACTATTGGGCGAGGTCTGTCTCTTTTTTTTTCCTATTCTCTTCATTTCTTGGATATCTCTACCATCTAACTTAATAGAGAAATGTTGCTCTATTATCTTGGTAAAGTTGTTCACTAAGTTTTCATACGATGATTCTTTCTCTAAGATACCAAAAAATACGATGTTTCGTTGTCTTGCCTGCTTTTCCAAGAAGTACAGTCTTTTCTCTTGGGTTACAACTCTTTCTTCCAATTTTTTATGTTTTTCTTCCCATACACAAAATTTTTCTTCCAATATGTTATTTATATTCTGTGTTACTTGTTCTGTTACATTTTCTCCGCTTTTATGAATCATAATTTTTTGTTCGTCTAATTCTTTTTGTATTTTTTTAAGTGCATTCATAATTTCTTCCATGGTTTATTACTTTTTCTCTACCTGAGGCGCCCTCTTGTAAACAGACTTTGTACTATCAGATTGATGCTAAATACTCAATAAGAGCTCAATAGTTTAGCTTTGTAATATGGTATAATTATAACAGATGGCGCTGAGCGTTGTTTGAGTGTTGTTGAACGGTTATAGTTTTTGAACAGTCATTTAATTTTGAGGTTGTGTTTTTTAATGTTTTTAACAAAATGGTAAAACTGCACTTAATTTTTATCCACATAACACTTCAGCACAAATGAACATTACTTTAATTAGTGTTTAGCCTGTATTTGCTAGAAAAAGTCCATAAACAGAAATCACTGACAATTTTTTTGCACTATAGATAGTTTTGATTTTCAATTGTTTGTTGATAGTTATGTCACTTAACTCCAATATATAATATTTATGCCAAAGTTTTGTATCACTTAACACTTTAACACATTAAAAAAACCACTGTTTTATATTTTTAATTTGATTTCTTTTACGGAGTCGATGTATACCATGACACAGTAGCGCCCTCTCTCCCCATTTAATGTATAACTCGTACGAATTAACTTGAGACCTGGGCCGATGACGTAATTGTCAATGTACGGTGTGCAAAATAATGCGTCGTAATATTTTTTTATTTGAAATTTCTGAGATTTGCATGAGATTATTAATAAAAACAAAATAAAATGCTCTGGCAAGGGGTGAAGTAATAAGTGATATACTGTTTCCATTTTTATATACATATTTTAAATATTTATTTTTTATAATATATATAATATTATTTTTAGTTAACGCGTCAAGGAAGGACAAAGAAATAAACATACACACTTTCTCATTTATAATATTATTAATTTATTTATTATACACTTTATTGCACTATAAAAAGTGTTACAGATTCGTTCGTTCCTTTGATATGCCTGTTGCTGCACAAGCCCTCTTTAAAGCTTGGTCCACAGGAATAAGAAACTTTTTATTTGATTTTTCATCTTCGAAAAATTTTAAAACTTTTAGAGCAAGTGTCCGTGCTTGGCTATGTATTGTCTTTCCTCCCATCTTTTTTTTAAAAATAAAAAAGGCGGAGTAACTCCTAAGCGTCACAAGAAAACGGCACAACACAACGTCCAAACTTAACAATAAAACAACGCAATTAACAACAAACAGATAAAATAACGTTCAAGTATAACAAAAACAAACAAAAGTCCAAACCAAACAACAAACAATTATCAAAAATATCGAACTAGAGTCGAGACGCGTATCCGTAACAAAAATGCTATCGGTACTGAGCGCGCACGGCCAGCGCGGGACGCGGTGCGGGGAGTCGGGAAGGGGGTCGCATTCCAGCGGAGTCTCAAGTTAATTCGTACGTGTTGTAAATACGTATATTTTTATATTTTCTATTGGCGCCAATCGTATACCTAGTAGGTAACTGCAGTCGTAACGTAACCGCGGCTCCACGTTATCGCCGTGAAGCTCCGTAAACAGGCGTGAACGTGAATTTAGATGGTTTTTGCGGGATTCACGCACTTTCATGCTTGATCAGAGTCGGTATTTTGTCCCGCGACAAAGGGTTTGCGCGGCGTTCACACCTACACATCCACATTCACGGCCCCGTGCCAGTTCGTTTCGGACTACAAAGGCGTACGGACGAAGTGTTTTAGTCATACGCCATCTTCTTTTCTTCCAACGCTTTCTAATGAATTTCTTGTTTTGGATGTCTAAATAGTGATATGTTGCCACAGCAAATAAAGTTATTGCAGCAGCAGCTTCTACGTCCGTTTCGCGGCGAGTTTTACGAACGATTGTGAACATCCACTGAATGTGGAGGGCACGACTTGTGCCGTAAATTCATAGATAATGTGGAGCCGCCATAAGTTGTGTAGCACAGACTTAGCACAGCGCACGCCCGCCGCACCATCTTTTATAACTACTAATTTAGTGGTACGAATAATAGCCGATTTACACTTCGACAAGTACAGTAGCGAGTTTAGTTACGAGGCAATTGACAGTAAACGGCTAAGCAGACAGTAGCGTTCAAATATCTTGGTAACGAGTTTAATTTAAAAAGTACAATTTTCTATTTTGGAGATCTAACGCCAAACCGTTGCATCCTGTCAACTTATGCACTGAACCACACTGAACTAAACTTAAACTCGCTCATTCACACGTGCGGCGAGTTTAGTTACGGGTGGCGGGAGACGCCTGGGAGGGCAACATTTCGCACTTAACTCGCCGAAAAATAGACCGACCGGTTATCCCGTTCAACCTAATTGTTAACTTGTTACTTAACTCGCTAATTGTCGTTCAAACGAGATTTTCTACCTAACTCACAAGGTTCGCAAGTTAAGTTTTTTACGTGGTAGAGTCACGCTGCAGCTATGTCATGGTTGTAGCATGAATGAGTCGGCTCGACCGGGGAAGGACCACGCTCTCACAGAATACCAGCGTCAAATAGTAGCTTAATGCTGTGTTTCGTATGATGAGTGTAGAGATCCGGAGAACCTTTATTACTGGAAATGAGGCATACCATCTTAGTCCTCAGGGATGCAAAATAAATGTAGATGTCTATGGGCCACAGTATCCACTTACCGTCAGGTGGACTGTGTGCTCGTTAGTCACCCTCATTCTATATAAAAAAAACTCGCTACTGTACTTGTCGAAGTGTAAATCGGTCTTTAAAGGTGCGCTGCGCTACAAATTAGTATGTAGTTAAAGTTGACACAGTAACGTGTCAGCCATTGCCACCCGCCGCACGCTGTTATTCGATAACAATCGACTAACTTGGATTGTTATCGAATTTTATGGATTGAACTGAACAATCGACTAATTCGATTAGTTTTAATAATAATCGCCCATCGCTAACACGAATGGGTCGGCTCGACCGGGGAAGGACCACGCTCTCACAGAATACCAGCTTAAAATAGTAGCTTATTGCTGTTGTATTTCGTATATGGCATATATTGTATGAGAACCGGATCGAAACCTTTTTACTGGAAACGAGGCATTCTATCTTACTCCCCTAGATGTAGAGGTCTATGGCCCACATCATCCACTTACAATCAGGCCAACTGTGTGCACTTAACTCACCCTTATTCTATTTAAAAAAGTAGCGACATCTGGTGAACGTAAAATCTAGCCCTCATTGCAGGTGCGGGGATGACCTTTAAAAAAGAATACAGTCTTTTCTTGGAGGATCCTAAGTTGTATCTCAAACTACACGCAGTAATACCGAATGTAATAAATTTCTGCTGAGTTACGTTTGATTCTATTAATATCGTTTACAGGAACTACCTGAACTTCATAATCGAGGAGTTAAAGGACCCTGTTAGAAATCTGCCGCGAGCTATCGCGATCTCATGTACATTGGTCACCATAGTGTACACATTGACCAATGTTGCCTTCTATACTACGCTGTCGCCAACTGAGGTAATCTTCATTTTTTAAAAGAACACTGGCAATACCGATTCTTATTTACTCGATTGCTACATAATAATAAAAATTATTCTGTGGATTTTATAATCGTAGCGCTTATTTTTAACATATTTTAATTCTGTCTGTCAGCGCTGTAAAACACTCTATCAACATCAAACTCTACCGTACTTAGATCATCCCTTCGCTTAGGGTTGTCTGGTCTGAAAACCGTAAAGCCAGATCGACCAGTAAGTTCAGCTGGACATTTGGATAAAAAGACCGAACCCCATTAATATTTCCGTCTTATTATAACATGACAAATTTCTTTTAAAATAAAACCAGGCTTTTTAATCATATACCATAAAATCTTATTAAAATTTAATGAAATAAGAAATTGAATGAATCAGTCTTCGCTTTTAATTATCATTCTTTAACTACTTACTATTATTGAAATTTAAAATCTTAAATTGTTATGAAATAACAATAAAATTTAATGAACCAGACCTTTTTTAATTATTATTATTTACTTTACTTACCTACTTACTATTATTGTAATGAAAAACAAAATTAAACAAAGCACTAATGAATTAAATAATCTTTAAGTTAATCGTAATATAAAGTAATTAAAAGTAAGACTGATGGAGCGGAAAACAACACATGAAAAATGGAAAAAAAAATTCAAATTTGAAAAGCCTAACAAAATTCGGACAGGCCGAACACCGTCTAATTTGGCCGCACACGCAACCAAAAAGCCTGTGCCTGGCTTCTTTTTCGCTTCTTTTTGGTAGGCGGTGGTACATTGAGAAACAATCGTCGACTGGCGCTTCGTTTTTGGATCGTATTCATAGTTCCAAGATTCATATCCAATAACAAAGGCGCAAAAATTACACACCGAGACCAGGCTGATTCATCATCATTACAGCCCTTCACAAATTCAACACTGACTATGTTCAGTACATATGGTCAAATTAAGAAACTCCTCTTTTTTGAAGTAGACTAAATTACTCGTGTCCAATATAGCATAAAATTGAAGTGTCTTTCTGTACATTGAAATAACTGATATAATTATAATCAATCTAAATTAAAAAAAAATCTGATCAATCTGACTGCCTCGTTGGTCCAGTAGTTGTAGTAGTGCGACTGCTGATCATGAGGTCCTGGGTTCGAATCCCGGAAAAAAATCAACTATAAAGTTTTTTCTGTCAAGAAATTCTCAGTAGCTACCCGGAGTCAGGAAGTTGTCGGTATCTCACCCTCGTGCCTCGGAAAGCACGTAAAGCTGTTGGTCCTGCGCCTGATTTCTCTCCGGAATAGACTTGGGCACTATAATTCTGTCCTGCGTCGATGGCTAGCCTCCGTTGAGGCAGGCCGCCGTGGCCGAAATTTGGTCCGGAGGATATTATTTTTATTATTATTATATAATCAATCTTCTTGCTAAACTTGGCTATTGAGGCAAATCCTCCGTACGCGGGAGATCCTTATGCCAAGTAGCGGATTTTTTAAATAGAATAAGGGTGACAAACGAGTACACAGTCTACCTGGTATCCTGGTAAGTGAATGCTATGGTTCACTCCTCGTTTAAGAATCAAAATGCTGATGCGTTGTTACCCTTGGGGACTAAGATAGAATGCTTCGTATCCGGAAGAAAGGATATTCGGTTCTTTACACTTATCATACGAAACACTAGCATTAAACTGTTATTTTATGGTGGTGTTCTGTGAGAAAGTGGTCCTCCTCTAGTCGAGTGGACACATTTGTGTTACAACTATAATTAATAAAATTGTATATTAATATATAACACCGCAAGACTTTAAGATACTGTTACGAGCTTGAGGTTCGTGACAATAAAAACTGCAATTAAATTTCCAAAATTGACGCTTTAATTACTGAACACCAATTGCAACTTAAAACACACTAATAATAAAACACAATTGTACTATTGTATTGATCACTTTAGTTCTTCGAAGTGCAAGCGCTTTAGTTTTGAATTACGACGTCAAACATCTCAATCGCCCCATGACGATTGGTGTTGTAAAGTGCCCGAAATGTCGGGAATGAAAGAAATTAAAATAAAACGCAATATAATCAATAAAATTAGTTTTATTCCATGTATAGGATTCGTGTAAATATAAGAGATCATTATGATGATAGAGTTTTTCCTTTTACTTAATTTATTAAAGTTCTTTAAGAACAAGAGGTCTAAGTTATCCTGATTTTTACACTCACTTTAGATAAGGTGAAATATTTGTTTGATTTTATAGCTGGGGAAGTTAACTTGTTAAAAAAGTGAAAAATTAATTTTATTTTCTAAATTATTAGTTATAATAATGAGATTAGAAACTATGTAAGCAATCTACAGATGTTCCTAAACGTAGAAAAAAGAAGTTAATGTGCAAAAAATTAAAGAACAAACCACTGAGGCATTGTTTTGTGTATTAATGTAATACTCTCTAAACTGATAAACTTTTATTTAAAACTAATTTTACTATTGTGGGACAAAAAACTTTACCTCTGACCCAACTAGCGACATCTGGTGTGCGGAAAATGATTAGCCTTCTTGGGCTTATATACATATATATATATATATATATATATATATATATATATATATATATATATATATATGACTGCCTCGTTGGTCAAGTCGTTGTATTAGTGTGACTGCTGATCATGAAGTCCTGGGTTCGAATCCCGGGTCGGGCCAATAAAATTAATTATTGAGTTTTTCTGTCAAGAAATTCTCAGTAGCTGCCCGGAGTCAGGAAGTTGGCGGTGTCTCACCCCCGTGCCTCAGAAAGCACGTAAAGCCGTTGGTCCTGCGCCTGATCTCTCTCCGGTCATGTCAGTTTACCGTCCTATCGGATTATGAGAGTGAGGAAATAGAGAGTGCACCTGTGCTTGCGCGTACACTTGGGCACTATAATCCTGTCCTGCGTCGATGGCTAGCCTCCGTTGAGGCAGGCCGCCGTGGCCGAAATTCGGTCTGGAGGACATTATTATTATATATATATATATATATATATATATATATTACACGCATGATCTACGCAGGTGCTGGGCTCGGCGGCCGTGGCGGTGACGTTCGCGGAGCGGCTGTTCGGCTGGTTCGCGCTCAGCATTCCGCTCTTCGTGGCCGCCTCCACCTTCGGCGCCGTCAATGGCGTGCTGCTCACGTCTTCCAGGTCCCAACAATGCTTTTTATTTACTGACAAAGTGAAATTTATTTACAGGGCTAAGTTATACTTAAAGTTCCACGAGCAACGTATGTAACCCGGTATTTTGTAATAAACAAGTAGTCGCCCTTTGATGAATGAAACATTCATAAGATATTCATATATATGCACAAACGCTTTCGCATTGGAGGAAAGAAGAGTTTCGCTTTGGGTGGAATGGTACCATGATATGGTTACAAAATTTTAAGCTGCCTCGTCTTGGATCCTCCCTACATAATAGACTTAAAAATGAACATATCCGCAGTAAAACCAGAGTAACCAACATAGCTCCCCCACTAGATGGAGTGACAACCTGGTAAGACATACAGGAAATCGGTCAAAGCATGTTGCTCGGGGTGGTATTTGATACCTACCATTAAACTAACATCCATGCCAATGGCGTACAACCATATGGGTTATATATAACATTGCTAGAAATATTTCTAGTGTGAGAAACCAGCAACTAAAAACAAGGCTTCAGCGGTTACTATTTCACAATAATAACGTGCATACACTCCGTAAGTCGTAGAAGAGATACCTGAGACGGACTTTAAAATTATTTTGAAAATTGCTTCTGACACATGAAATTTTCTGTAAATTCCGTTGAAAAGTTCTTTGGATTTTTATTCAATATAATAAAAACTTCAACCATAGAACTTTTATGATACGGGGTTATTATTCAAATATTAGCTAAATTTATTAATTAGGTTCGATATATAAACACTGGTGTACGCTTTTTGCAGTTTTTAAATTATGCGTAAATAAGGTTTCTACATTTATTTGAAAATATCCGAAATTGAATGTGATGAGAGCGAGGGAAAGAGGTGGAGAATGAATGTAAAAAATTAGCTGTAGAAAAAATAGTTGAGCTGGAAAACCGGTGATGGGTGATTAATTATGCTCATAGCATACCGCGCAGCCGGCTGCGTGGTTATGTGGAAACTTTTACCCACTAAACCCCACTCTTATGGATTGGCTTACCGATCTGACGAGAGATCTCTAATAAAGTTGTTCAAAACGACTATAAATCAATAGCACGCTACAGACTATAAACTAGAAATTTCTAGCGTGCTATTAAATACGCTATGTTATAGCGCGCTATTTATAAAAAAGTGTGTAGGAGGCCGGCAAGCGCGTTAAGTTTAGCAGCTCGCTATGTCTCGGAGCACGCTACATTGGATGTCGTTCATTGGATAGACCGCGTGCTTCATAAGAATATTGTTTCGTAATAAGTCGCATTTTAGATTAAGATAAAATTAAGTGGTAAAAAAATCAATGAACGCTCTTTCATACTTTTCAGGCTTACAACTTTCTATAACCCTAAAAATATTTTTAAGGCATGTACTTTTTAAAACAAAACAAAATTAATCATTTTTTATTATAATTGGTCAAAACAGGCACGTATGGTAATTCATAATGCTGTGTTAGTCCCTACGTTAATGTATGGTAGTGAAAGCTGGGTATGGCAGAAGAAGCACGAAAGTAGAATAAATGCTGTAGAAATGCGTTCTTTAAGAAATATGATAGGGTTTAATCTGAATGACAGGGTGAGAAATTGCGTGATAAGAGATAAATGTGGTATGCAAAATGATGTTGTGACCAGGATTAAGAAAGGAATGCTTCGGTGGTTTGGTCACGTAGAAAGAATGAATGATGAAAGAGTGACAAAGCAAATTTATATGGCAGATGTGAACGGCCGAGTCGGGAAGGGACGCCCTAGAAAAAAGTTTGTCGACCAAATTGGCGATATTTTGAAAATGGGCCACGTTAGAAGTACCCTTAACCGACGAGCATGTATGCGTAGATATATGGATGTAAAGGAGGCGAAAGAGGTATGTCAGGATCGTGCCAAATAGAAGTCCGTAATCTCTGCCTACCCCTCTGGGTGACAGGCGTGAGTGTTTATGTTATGTTTTATGTTATTTTAACATTAATATAATTATAAATCAATTAAAGGTATATTTAAAAGTTATTGATTGTATATACAAAAATCAACTATTTACAAACACTATTATATACACTTTTGTATTCTATATTTTATTTACATTTACAAACATTAGTTAGGCTTCTTTTGTAGCTAATATGACGCTATGACGTTTTGGCGCTATTCATATCAAGCGGCAATTAGTTCTATTCTAGCAATAGCGCTGTTAGGAGTAAACGTGTGACGCAAATTTAATCTAGCAGCACGCTATTCATCGCACGCGATCTAATTTAGTGTGAGACAGTTATTTAGTTAGTGTATACTGTATATTTATAAGTGATGGAAGGACACAGTTGTCTGCTACAAAAGAAGCCTAATGTTTTAAAGGTAAAAAATATAGATACAAAAGTGTATATAATAGTGTTTGTAAATAGTTGATTTTTGTATATACAATCAATAAACTTTTAAATACATCTTTGATTTATAATTTATATTAAGGTTAAAATAACGTTTACATCAATTATAATAAAAAATGATTAATTTTATTTTGTTTTAAAAAGTACACTCCTTAAAAATATTTTTGGGATTATAAAAAGTCGTAAGCCTGAAAAGTATGAAAGAGCGTTCTTTAATTTTTCTTTACCACTTTATTTTATTTTAATGTAAAATGCGACTTATTACGAAATAATGTTCTTATATAGCACGCGGTCTATCCAATGAACGACATGTAATGTAGCGTGCTCAGAGATATAGCGTGCTGCTAAACTTAACGCTAAGTGCTGCTAAAAAAACGCTTGCCGGCCTCCTACACACTTTTTTATAAATAGCATGCTATAACATAACGCATTTAATAGCGCGCTAGAAATTTCTAGTTTATAGTGTGGAGCGTGCTATTGATTTATAGTCGTTTTGAACAACTTTAGTGCGCAGGTAAGGTTACGCTCCTCTGGTAGGGCGTAAGTGTGGAAACCGGAAAGTGATTGCCTGTATGCGCAAGTGACTAGTCTCGCTGCGGAATTCCTCAGTTGAGTTTACAAAAAACATACTGATGTCCTGACCGGTGTTTTGTAGTTTTGGGCAGTACATCCTTTTTTAGTTCAACTAATTGGAAAGATTATTCCACTTGGTTCTGTCTTGAGTGACGATGGATGGCGGCGGCTTTTCTATGCGTTCAGCAGGAGACCCTTTCGCTGCGGGCTCGGGGGGATGAGCGCGCTCCGTGGGGACTGGCTTTTTTGCCGGAGTGTTGGTAGGAAACGAGGGGGCCTAGTTAGTCTCAGCTACCTTTTTTGGAGTTGTGAGTTTACGATTTTTGTCCTGATCAAGGGTGAAGCTTTCGTCTTCAGGCTTGGACGGGGCACGCGTTTCGGTCTTCATGTCAGAGCCTGATTCAGCATCCGAGAAGACAGAAGTAGAAGTTTTATTACATTATATATTTATAATGGCATAATCATTGCCATCTTAGACTGTGATAGTCCACAATGCTCAGTTTCATATTAGTTTGTTTTACTGATTATGAAAACATTATAAATATAATAAAAAAATATTTAACAGTTTGCAGTATTGTAATTATAAATTAAAAAAAAAACTTCAAAAGATATCCAACAATAACAATTTGAAAATATTTTGATAACTCTACTCTATTCCTTTTAAAGTTCTTTGTTGACGTTTTACAAAGCGTTTGGACTCCATTACTGCCGAGAAGTCCATCTGAGTAGGTACCATGCCTCTTTTCTTATCCTGCCTCCAAGCAGCAGTGCGTATGCTACTGTGTTCCGGTCTGAAAGGTATACAGAGCTAGTATAATCACCATCCGTAAGCCATTTCATCTTGGTTCTTAGATATGACAACGTATCTATAGCCTTCTTCGTTCGAAGTTGGTCGCCAGGTATCCCCCCTGGATACTTGGAGTAAGCACTTACCATCAGATGGGTAGTAAGTTTGTTTGTCATTTAACTTTTATAAAAATACATTGTTACAGCCTTTTTAGTATATCAATAGAATCATTATCAATAGAAATATTACTTAACTTTATGTCATCGGTGGCTAAGCCCGTGTCGTCATGACATGAATGAATGAATGAATGAAGGATGCGTCTCGAACGGTTTTTCTACGTTAACTAAAATTAAAAGAAGGATGCGTGTCGGCACGTTGTTCAACGTTAAAATGAATGAAGAATACGTATCGGTAGACTGTTTTGAGCTATGAATTAATGAAGGATGCGTGTCGGCAGGTGTTCTACACAAAGAATGAATGATGGATACGCGTCGGCAGGCTGTCCTACGCAGATAATGAATGATGGATGCATGTCGGCAGGCTGTCCTACGCAGATAATGAATGATGGATGCATGTCGGCAGGCTGTCCTACGCAGATAATGAATGATGGATGCATGTCGGCAGGCTGTCCTACGCAGATAATGAATGATGGATGCATGTCGGCAGGCTGTCCTACGCAGATAATGAATGATGGATGCATGTCGGCAGGCTGTCCTACGCAGATAATGAATGATGGATGCATGTCGGCAGGCTGTCCTACGCAGATAATGAATGATGGATGCATGTCGGCAGGCTGTCCTACGCAGATAATGAATGATGGATGCATGTCAGCAGGCTGTCCTACGCAGATAATGAATGATGGATGCATGTCGGCAGGCTGTCCTACGCAGAAAATGAATGATGGATGCCCGCCGGCAGGCTGTCCTACGCAGATAATGAATGATGGATGCCCGCCGGCAGGCTGTCCTACGCAGATAATGAATGATGGATGCATGTCGGCAGGCTGTCCTACGCAGATTATGAATGATGGATGCACGTCGGCAGGCTGTGCTACGCAGATAATGAATGATGGATGCATGTCGGCAGGCTGTCCTACGCAGATAATGAATGATGGATGCATGTCGGAAGGCTGTCCTACGCAGATAATGAATGATGGATGCATGTCGGCAGGCTGTCCTACGCAGATAATGAATAATGGATGCATGTCGGCAGGCTGTCCTACGCAGATAATGAATGATGGATGCATGTCGGCAGGCTGTCCTACGCAGATAATGAATGATGGATGCCCGCCGGCAGGCTGTCCTACGCAGATAATGAATGATGGATACCCGCCGGCAGGCTGTCCTACGCAGATAATGAATGATGGATGCATGTCGGCAGGCTGTCCTACGCAGATAATGAATGATGGATGCACGTCGGCAGGCTGTCCTACGCAGATAATGAATGATGGATGCATGTCGGCAGGCTGTCCTACGCAGATAATGAATGATGGATGCATGTCGTCAGGCTGTCCTACGCAGATAATGAAGGATGGATGCATGTTGGCAGGCTGTCCTACGCAGATAATGAATGATGGATGCCAGCCGGCAGGCTGTTCTACGCAGAGAATGAATGATGGATGCATGTCGGCAGGCTGTCCTACGCTGATAATGAATGATGGATGCACGTCGGCAGGCTGTCCTACGCAGATAATGAATGATGGATGCATGTCGGCAGGCTGTCTTACGCAGATAATGAATGATGGATGCATATCGGCAGGCTGTCCTCCGTAGATAATGAATGATGGATGCCCGCCGGCAGGCTGTCCTACGCAGAGAATGAATGATGGATGCATGTCGGCAGGCTGTCCAACGCAGATAATGAATGATGGATGCATGTCGGCAGGCTGTCCTACGCAGATAATTAATGATGGATGCCCGCGAATGATGGATGCAGAAAAAGCGGCAGGCTGTTCTACGCAGAGAATGAATGATGGATGCATGTCGGCAGGCTGTCCTACGCAAAGAATGAATGATGGATGCCCGTCGGGAGGCTGTTCTACGCAGAGAATGAATGATGGATGCATGTCGGCAGGCTGTCCTACGCAGATAATGAATGATGGATGCCCGCCGGCAGGCTGTTCTACGCAGAGAATGAATGATGGATGCATGTCGGCAGGCTGTCCTACGCAGATAATGAATGATGGATGCCCGCCTGCAGGCTGTTCTACGCAGAGAATGAATGATGGATGCATGTCGGCAGGCTGTCCTACGCAGATAATGAATGATGGATGCCCGCCGGCAGGCTGTCCTACGCAGATAATGAATGATGGATGCATGTCGGCAGGCTGTCCTACGCAGATAATGAATGATGGATGCACGTCGGCAGGCTGTTCTACGCAGAGAATGAATAATGGATGCATGTCGGCAGGCTGTCCTACGCAGAGAATGAATGATGGATGCATGTCGGCAGGCTGTCCTACGTAGATAATGAATGATGGATGCCCGTCGGCAGGCTGTTCTACGCAGAGAATGAATGATGGATGCATGTCGGTAGGCTGTTCTACGCATAGAATGAATGATGGATGCCCGTCGGCAGGCTGTTCTACGCAGAGAATGAATGATGGATGCATGTCGGCATGCTGTCCTACGCAGATAATGAATGATGGATGCCCGTCGGCAGGCTGTTCTACGCAGAGAATGAATGATGGATGCATGTCGGCAGGCTGTCCTACGCAGATAATGAATGATGGATGCCCGCCGGCAGGCTGTTCTACGCAGATAATGAATGATGGATGCATGTCGGCAGGCTGTGCTACGCAGATAATGAATGATGGATGCCCGCCGGCAGGCTGTTCTACGCAGGAATGAATGATGGATGCATGTCGGCAGGCTGTCCTACGAAGATAATGAATGATGGATGCCCGCCGGCAGGCTGTTCTACGCAGAGAATGAATGGTCGATGCGCCTCGGCCGATTGTTCTACGCAGATAATGAATAATGGATGCATGTCGGCAGGCTGTTCTACGCTGGTGCAGCGAACGGGCAGCTGCCGGCTGCGCTGACGATGGTGTCGGTGCGTGCCACGCCCGTGCCCGCCGTGCTGGCGGTCGCGCTGCTTTCGCTGCTCTACCTCACCGTGTCCGACATCTACGCGCTCATCAACTACGTGGGCTTCGCCACTTGGGTCAGTACTGGCGGTAATCACTCTACTCGCTTGCGGTCGCGCTGCTGTCGGTACTCTACCTCACCGTATCCGACTTCTTTGCGCCCATTAACAGCTATACCATAAAACTTAGTACCATGGAGTGTAAGAAGGAACAAACTTACGTCTTCTTTAAAGGCAAAAATCACCTGCACACGTAGTCAGCTAACGATCGAGAGTGGCGACTGACCGGCAGATATTCCTTCGGGATATGTCAAGCCAAAATCCATTAAACCGGTAATGGCTACCAAGGAGAATCGATATTCTCATTAATCGATACTCTCGCAATAACATCGCATAAGTATCGATTATGAACTTATCCACCCGCCTGCCAAGTGTGGGTAGTATGGGAAAATTTTTCGTTTAGTTTATATTTGGATTACGTAAATCTCTTTCTCGTACTAAGTCTCTCTTTTTAGTACTAAACTCAAGTGGTTGCCAATACTACTTCATGGGAATGTGCACATACTTCATGTTCTCTACAGTATCCTTTAATCCTTCTTATCCTTCTTACCTCAAAAATCACTTTCAATTTCTTTGTGATTCCCATTCGCGTAACCTGAGATCAGAAGAGAGTTTGAAGTGGAAGCCACTACACATTAGTTAATTTATGAACGCGTCTTTTACTTTACAGACCGTTCGTTTATGAAATGAACTCCCACTGGCGGTAAAATACGCACCATCCGCTCAAGTATTAAAAAAACTTTTCAAAAATCATTATCTCACTGTTTAAATTTCGTTTAACCTCGCCTCCACACTAGCCTTTAAATATAATATGATGTGTAGTATATTAATTGCATTTAATTATATAATCCATTACATATGTATTTTACGTTTCACATGTTTGAATTATGTTTGAAATATGTGTATGGTGTATGTTTAATCTTTTTTACCTCTTTTATCACATCTACTTACTCTACCCCTGTCTTTCTTTCAGCAATCCTGTCCATTCATGGGTTGTATGGAAAAAATTGCATCAAAATCATTTATGCAAATAAATGATTTTTGTATAGTTTATGGTGTGCAATAAAGTACATTAAATAAATCATAAATAATTATTTTGCTATCCGAACTCTGCAAAATCTTTTTGCGTTTACCCTTAGTAAACTTTTACAACGCCCACTAGACGGAAAGTCAGAAAAATATTAAAAATGTTCCCATTTTAATTTTACGTCGTCCTGTCGCGTAATGTGTATTCTGATCGTAAATGACACAGATTCCCCCTTTAAAGGCCGAAGCGAGACTGACCGGGCAGCAGGTAACAAGCTTCAAGATGCCGATAGTTTAGGTAAATTCTTTTCCAGTGAAAATAATGGTAATTAAAAAAAACATAAGCACTGCTTTATAGTTAGTTCAGTTAGTATGCAGTTTCATGATCTAATTTAAAGTATTTTATGAATAACAGCGGTTTATTGTTAAGTTTTGAGGTAACTTTGGATTTTTTTCTATCGAGAAAATTTTATGGAATCGTGTTTTCGTCTAACATAGTACTTAATATTAATCCTCAACTTCACCATATATTTATTTCAATATTAATGCTGCAATATTTTCGGCATAACGGAGGATCTTGCTAAGCCATTTGTGGTAGTATTTTTAATATTTCCCCTTAAAAATGAAAATTTGTCTTCCCTAGTTTGAAGAATACCTCCCACTCTCCCTCAATTGCATGATTTACTACCACATTAGGAAAAACACCAACATCGATAATATGACACGTAGGTATTTCTTCTCTAAATGAGGCAACATGAGAAATATGGAGTGTAGAAGTAAGGAGTACAGACTGTATATTAAAAAGTGTCCGTAGAAAATCGTTAAATAAGGGTGGCGCCACTATAGCTACGGGGTAAATTTTAAAGAACGCACCTAAAAATATTAGTAGGATAGACGACTTTTTCGAGGTTATATTTACAAAATAAAATTATTTTAGATTTTAGAGCTACTGAGCAGTTTAGCACCACACTTAAATCGTCGACAACTGCTAAGTTCATTTCATCCCAGTAGCTACTCCAGCGCTGTTGTGGAGAGTTTTTGAACTGTTATTAACTGCTTACAGATGGACACTTTTTCAACTGTTCCCACAACACTCCATAATGAGAAATATAAATACTCGGCGATGGCTGATTCTATTAATTAGACAGAATAATTGCAAACATTTGTCGCACTACTATTCGTGCAGGATTATTATGTACTACCACTGCACAACAATCTGTTTAGCTTTTAAATTAAACAGAAACAGAAACTTTTTTATTCAATGTAGATTATAAACAATACTTATTGAAAGTCAATTTTTTCATTTACCACTGGTTCGCAAAAAAAGCTCTGTCCTGGGAAGAACCAGCAAGAAACCCAGCGGGGCTATTTTTTTTCAAATAATAGCTCTAATAATCATGTTTACAATTAACAACACAAGACAAATTAGAAATAGCTTGGTAGCGATCACCTGTACACCCCATAAATATCCCGTTGTTCTCTACCTTCAGGGCTGTTTCACATGAAACAGTTTTATTTGCGTTTAATAATATAAAACCAAAATTTATTTCAATTTCAGTTAAGTATTGGCGCAGCTGTACTTTGCCTGCCGGTGCTACGTTATACGCAACCGAATCTGGAGAGACCGATTAAAGTCAACCTAATCTTCCCTGGTAAGTTCTCACTCAGATTAAGTTGACTTTTAAGAACCTGTGTTCTTCTTAGAAAATAAACGCTAGATTCAGAAGGTATCAATGCCCACTTCGGCTTAACTTCGACACGCTATTTTGGCAGGGTCGCCATGTAATGTAAGGATAAAGACTGATTTATATTACGAAGAACATACACCACTACATGATATATGTTATATTATATATGCATATGTGAGCCTTATGAGTAGTACATCCAGTATTGTACGCGCGTTGTACACTCTCTAATCTTTTAAGTCGTTTCTTGTAAGAGAAAACTCTTTGTTTATATTAAATCTGCTTGAATTTGTTATTCTGATAACTAGATGGTTCCGTTTTTCTTTGCCCTGCTTCCCCTTTTCATTAAGACCGATTTACACTTCGACAAGTACAGTAGCGAGTTAACTTGCGAACCTGGCGAGTTAAGTTTAAACCTCGTTTGAATGGCAATAAGCGAGTTAAGTAGCAAGTTAACGATTAAGTTGAACAGGATAGCCGGTCGAGCTATTTTTCGGCGAGTTAAGTGCGAAGTGCTGCCCTCCCGCGCGTCTCCCGCCACCCGCAACTAAACTCGCCGTTCGTGTAAACGAGCGAGTTTAGTTCAGTGCATAAGTTGACAGGACGCAACGTTTGCGCGCCAAAACGTACAATTGTACTTTTATAATTAAACTCGCCACAAAGTTTGTACAATACTGTTTATTGAATGTTTATAGGTTTTATATTGGGTTTTAATAGTATAATGGACGGAAGATATCACGTATAATTTTGTACAGGAGTATTTAGAACACGAATGTTTATATAATACTAGAAGTTCAAATTGTACAATTAAACCTGCTTGAGATGCTGCACTCATGAAAATTCTTAAAAACTTCTTTAACAACAACCATTAATACTTCTCTGACTGGATCATTTAATTCTTGACGTAATCCTAGAACCATCTTAAAAGAAAACCAGAAAAATTCTGTAGTCTTGAAACGTCATACTCCAACGAACTCTATGAACTAATGTCCTTAACTAAACTCGCCACGAAGACATTGTTTGAACGCTACTGCCCACTTAACCGTTTAATGTCAACTGTCCTGTGACTAAACTCGCTACTGTACTTGTCAAAGTGTAAATCGGTCTTTAAAAATGTTTGTGAATCCGATGTTGTTCATAGACTGTTAAAACAGACTGTGTCAGCCGGAATGGATTGTTCGCACATACTCATTCCGGTCTCATTGGTAATAGAGTTCTCAATTTAAAGTATTCGAGTTCGAGTACATAAAACTCGAGCAAAACTTTCGAGTATAATAGAAATATTTAATTTGAATTGAGACTTCGTCATTGCTTATGGGAAAACTTTATAGTAGATATAAAATCAGTTTTTTTAATGTATGCGCGATGCTGCCATTTGCTAAGCCGCAAATCTCTTGTACGGTATGATACAAACAAACAGATTTCTAGTTGTTTTTATTGATTGATTATTTAGATAATTTGTATTTTATGACTCATTTTATTTTGATGGTGTTTTTGAAAATGAGAAACATAAATCGAATTCGCGAATAGTGTGCGAATTATAGTTCGAGTCAGTGATTTGGGTACTGACTCAATTTCTTTATAACCAGTACTAAGGCACTTGAAACTCTGTAGGAATGGTCGACTCGGCAAAGCGTTAGTGGTTGGTAAAAGCAGAAAGTTCCGCTTATTGATACAATTCAATTCGCTTAATTTGTCTGAACGTAGTAAATTTTATAAAATGACAATATGTTTATGAATAATAACAATAATGTCCTCCAGACTGAATTTCCGTCACATCGGCTATTCTCAACTGAGATTAGCCATCAGACGGGATTACAGTGTCCAAGTGTATATGCAATCACACGTGCACTCCCTATTCCCTCATTCTCATAGTCCAATCACGACCGGAGAGGGATCTGACGCAGGACCAACAGTTTAACGTGCTTTCCAAGGCACGGGTAAAATACCGCCAACTTTCTAACTCCGGGTTGCTACTGAGAATTTATGTGGTCTATTATTGTTCCGAGTTTATCAGTCTACTTTATGTTTATACAAGAAATATTATTTCTGTTTGAGTAACGTTAAAAAAAGTTATGGCATTCATTGTGCTCATGTTTTAACACTTTATTTATTACAGCCTATCAAAAACCACTGCTAAATATAGGTTTCCCATACAATTTTTTTAAAGGGTATATTTGCCACAACAGCCGTTTGGCGGGCAGGATATCAACCGCAGTTTTATTTTTATAATTTGGAGTGGTTATTAAGAAGATACTGCTGTCAATTTCCTTCTGTGGCTTCGTACGACCTCCATGAGCAACACGTGACAGTGGAGAATATATTGGGGTATTCGGTTGCACGTTACAGCGGTGTACATAGTGTGCACGGTGCTGGTGGTGGCAGTGCCAGCGGTGGCGTCCCCCGCGGAGACGGGCGTTGGCTGCCTAATGATCCTCACGGCCGTGCCCGTCTACCTGATACTGCTGGAGCCGCACACACGCCTGCGCGGCCTCGCCAACATTACAGGTGCGCCACCACACCACACCACACCACACCACACCACACCACACCACACCATACCACACCACACCACGCCACTACACCACCACACACCACGTGGGCTGTCTCATGATCCTCACAGCCGTGCCCGTCTACCTGATACTGCTGGAGCCGCACACGTGCCTGCGCGGCCTTGCCAACATCACAGGTGCGCCACCACCACACCACCACTATTAAATCCAAAAATCAAAGATTGTTTTAAACCCATAGTACACTTTTTGGTTAGCAAATTTTACATATCCGTACGCAGTAAGGCCACGCTAATGTGATTGCAACTCCAATGAAACGGCTCGATCTGGAAAGTCTAATTTGTTGTTAGGAGCAATATCCACGTTATTAGGAAGAATATTCCATGGAATGATATGGATATTCTTACACTGCCACTACATGGTTAGGTGGATTTAGCGGTGACAAGGTATTGGTCACAGTATCTATACATATATCGCCCATACTTTTATTAAAACGCACACACACACACGTTTACCTCTAGGACTTACATCAACAACCTCAAGACACCGACATTTGCGAGTTGAGAAATCCCAAGTCTATGAATGATCTAATCCAACCTTCTGTAAATTCTATCATTATTTGAGCTTTTACAAAGACTAAACGCGTTCTGTGAGGACAACCCATCTTAGTCCTCACGGGTGACAACGCACATGTAGCCTTCTTTGTTTGAATAGTCTGTACGTATCCGTATGGACTCTAACTTCGTTCTTCTATTCAGCTTTACATTTTTTTTACAGGATAGGTTGACAAACGAGCACACAGTCCACCTGATGGTAAATGGTTGCTGCGGCCCATACACATCTACATCTATCATCGATTACGAATCAAAATGCAGATGCGTTGTCACCCGTAAGGACTAAGGTGGAATGCCTCGTTTCCAGTAAAATGGTCTGCGATTCTCTACACTCACCATACGAAACACAGCAGCATTAAGCTACTATTTTACGCTGGTATTCTGTGAGAGCGTGGTCCTTCCCCGGTCGAGCTGATCCATTCGTGCTACAACTATAGTACAAATATAATTGCAGCATGGCTCTACCACGTATATAAAAAACGAAAGTATTTATATATCAATTTTAACAGTATTAGATTATAAACGTCTACTGCTGAATATAAGCCTTTCCAATGGAATTCCTAATGAGGGGATGCCGTGGTTACCAGTGGCAAGCGCAGTTTTTTATTATTTTGTGTTGTTATCACGAAGATGCTTTTGCCCATCTTCTGCTTCAGTTTTTCTGTTGTGGTTGTGTGAGTAGTTACGTTGTACCAGTTCTGGCGCACTTGTAGAAAGGTTGTACCAGTTCTGGCGCACGACGTTCGTCGACTCACAATCCTAAAAAAAAAAAAAAAAAAAAAAAAAAAAAAAAGGTTTTGGCATGCTCTGATCACGAATCTGCGGTCCATTTTTGCGTAGGATGCACGGTTCCGGAGATGTGCAGATCAATTAACTCTTATCTAATTGATATCCGCTGCGAGCCTCAACCGTCATTAGCGCTCCATTGTCCTTATCTACTTATCTATTGTTGATTGACTACCGTCATTATCTATTATTCGTCCAGCGTGTGGGTCGGCTTATGCTATTGTATTATACTCCTTTGTTCCTATCTACAACACTAATCTGAATCATCAATAAAACACATTACCTAATTTTGTAAAAATTTTTATTTATGAAATACAAAATCTTATTACTTATTATCTATAAAATAGGAGCGAAACATCTCATCCACTAAAATATCGTTGTACAATGTGTTCTCTGTAAATATACTCGTAAAACTATGCATTGAACATCCCTGAAACTTATATAGCAAATACATTAAGCAATATTCGCCACAAACTGAAGTCCACTCATTCTGAATCCTATCAACATTCCAGTTCCATCTTTTACAATTTCTTTTAAAAAACTCTAGATGATATCGTACAGGTGCCCGTCCGAATGAATCAAAATATTGACCGACGTCATTCGTATCGATATATAAAGCTACCCAATGTGACCCTGGTTTATCATCTGTATCCAAATTGCATATTATATACGTTGGTACGTGGGTGTACATGGGTAGTTTATTGGCAGCATAAACATTATTTTCTAGAGTGGGGTGAATCTTTTTCAGATGTTGTTGTACATCTAGTGTATCCATAATATTACTGCTATTAGTAGATTATTACAGTACCAATCTACTCAATGACTAATATAGGAATGATCAATTATAGTGATATCTAAATATTAAATTGCTTTCTTTGTGTTATACAAAACGTATTTGAGTCACCAATACACTGAACAAGACATGACAGGAAGGACGTAGGAATGTAGAGATAAGCAACAGAATGTAAGGTAAGCTTGTTGACGCATAAAGATACTATCAATTCTACTGCAGAAATTCTTTAGATTAGAATTATTACTCACTGGTACTATATAAGACCAAGCAACTGCAGTCATGGAGTTAGTGTATGGTCGTTTGACCGCAGTGGATCTATCAATACTACGTTTGTGTTACTTCAACGCATCAAAGGCCATGGATGTAAGTGTTTATTCTATTGACAAACTTACTTTTCTTTCTGTTATTTTCTTACGTGTCTATGATTTAGTGTTAACAAATTATATTTAAATATTATGTGTGTGTATATGGTTAAGCCGTGGTAGCTCAGATGGTTAGCGCAAAATGTAAACTTCATAGTACACGTCCCGGGTTCGATCCCCGCCGGCACCAATTAAATTGTTAATTACAATTTTAAGTGCTGATTTACCACGTGCTCAGCGGTGAAGGAAAACATCGTGAGGAATGCATGTCTGAGAAAATTTCGAAGGCATGTGAAGTTTGCCAACACGCATTGAGGTATCGCAGCGAACATTTCCTAGCCCTAAAACCCTCTCAGAAATGAGAGGAGGCCTATGTTCAGCAGTGGACTTTAATAGGTTGTAACTTTAGCTTTTTTAACTTTTATGATTAAGTGTTAACAAATTGATATTAACATGATAACTGTGTTGTTGCAGAAATCATTGAGCTTCGATGAAAATACCTATAAACAGTATTACTACTCGCCACTCTCCCCTCAAGAAGAGAGTGATGACATCGTCATTAATAATAACACATGCGATGGTGGAAAAAGAAAATCGCAATCGATTGATCATTTTTTTGAAGCTGAATCAAAAATAAAAAAGAGGAAGCTGTTATCATCAACCGTAGCACGAGCCGCTAGAGATGGTGTATCATACATTTCCACTAATTCTGACGACGGAGACCAAGCGACGCATCTCATCAAAATTGAAATGTACGATATGAAGAAGCTATCCAAGATTCCAACTACTGATCATTGGAAACATGCTTCCACGAGGATTAAATATTACGTAAAGACTAATAAGGATAGCATCTACGACAACACAAACGCCCTCGTATACAATATTACAAAGACAATAGCAGAAAGTGAAAAAGTTAAAAAATACTTTTTTAACAATGACAGTCATTAGCTGATCATTAGTGAATGTGATTCTGTTTACTTAAATTACAGGAAGACAAGAGCAGAAGAAAGAGATGAGTGTGGCATACGTGTACAGAACACATCATTGAAGAACAAAACTACAACACTGAGTGGAGATGAAAACGAGAATATGCAGTACTCAAGAGCTGAATATCCATTCTTCAGTTCAAAATCTAGCCGGTTGCTCAGTTTCGAAAACTGGCCTCTCGTTATGCGACAGAAACCTGAAGATCTTGCAGAAGCCGGTTTCTTTTATACTGGCCATGCAGACAGGACCAAGTGTTTCCATTGTGGTGGTGGCTTAAAAGATTGGGAAGATGATGATGATCCTTGGCAGCAGCATGTTCAGTGGTTTAGTCAGTGTGCTTATGTAAAATTTAAACTCGAACAGAGTTTTGTATTAGATTAAATAGAATATTTATAAAGAAAAAAAAAATAATATATTGCATACAATTTGTTTTATTTAATTTTATAATGTTTCACATAGTTACATACACACAAAATGCATTACACATAACTCATAAAATCTAACACACAACACATATTATAACCTTAACTACTATAGTCTACAGTAACATTTCTGTTTTTATCTATCTCAATAATATTATCAAACTCAGCATAAACTATACAGTTAATTGTTTGTATTAGTGAGGATTCAAATCGTACTTCTAATCTTACACTACCATGCTTTATGAGATTCCAATGAGCTGATGAGTTGGCTGATAAATCAGGAGTTAAGTCAAATGCTAATAGACAGTAACCTTTGGCATACTGTTCACAAGAGATTCCATTTCCTTCATTAAGAAAGTGAATACCAGTTCCCGAGAATAGAGTATGATATGCTGATGTAAATATGCTATTATTAAAAGATGGTTGCAAAGCTTTTGAAGGTATTTGTTGACCATCAATATATAAGCTGAAAGAATTAATACCATAGTTTTCAAAGTTAAATGGATTTTTAGTAAGGGAACCATTAAATGCAGAATTGTTCACAAATCCAATTATACATCTTTTGGGTACCTGCCCTAAAAATATATTATCAAGAGTTTTTCCTTGAACACCCGATGGAATTGTTAAAACTTTTACTTCAGCTCGAGTAATAGGATATTTAGCAGTGGTAGAAGCTAAAACTTTTTGATGTGCGAGTAATACACTTGGATTAATTCGTGCTCGTCGAACAATAAGAGTTGCGTCCGTAATGCAAACTTTAAACTTTACATCGTTTGACCCAGCAATTAAATTAAAGCTCTCTCTCGATCGAACCAATTTAACACTCATTTCAACACCATTAATTAAAAATTTATCTTGGTTGAAAATGTCACCGTGAAGATGACCAATCATTTCTATTTCCTTACTTTCACTAATCAATTCCTGTCTTTTAACAAATCCTATGTTTTTACCATCCGTAGAATCCATTTTTCCTGCTGTATCATCATACCAAAGACTACAAGTAAGATGAGATTGTTTAGCAGCAGGAGCATAGT